AGGTAACATCCCCTCTCTCTGTCATGCCAGGGGTCGTCATGATTCCAGGTGTCTCTCAGCTTACAGAGAAGGACCTCAAATATCGACTTCAGGCATCCAGAGCCAAATCCATTATCACCACAGATGCCCTAGCTCCGTGGGTGGATGCCATTAGCGCAGACTGCCCCTCCCTCCAGACCAAGCTGCTAGTGTCAAACAACAGTTGGCCAGGCTGGATGAACTTCAGGGAACTCCTACGGTGAGTTGTGGCTTTCCAGGACAATAGCATTAAAATTAAGTCAAGGCTTTCTCCTGTAAGACATGAAACTCATTGCCAATTATCCGGAGTGTGGAATAGAAAAGAATGCTCAGTTTGGAACATGATCCTGGAACATGATCCTGGTGACCACCTTAAAGTTCAAGGTCTCTTGTTCAGTTAGTACTAGATTTGTCACCAGCCTTTCTATGCCTTGTTTATAATGGTGATAGTAATTACTAGAGCTATTAGCAAGTGTACATGAGAAAACTTGTGTGAAACACCTAGTACATAGCAGGTGACCAACAAATAATAAAACAACTGACCTGTATTGAGTGTTTGCTTTTTGCTAGGCATTGTGCTAGGTTAACATTTGCATGCATTCATCCTTGTAGCAAAGATTTAATGAATATCTATTTTGTGACGAGTGTTGTGTTTGGTGCTCAGAACACCAATACATTCATAATGAATAACATATAATCTTATTATTATTTCTCTGTCAGAGGCTCTATGTGTTCCTCAGAGAGACACAGAGAGAGAGAGAGAGAAAAGGGGAAGCCCTCCACGGGGCATGGTCAGCTACAATTCCTTCTCCTCCATTTTGGACATGCATGCACGTGTGCCGAGTGTGTTTTTCAAGCTGCTGGGGCCAAGACTTGAACCTTGTGGTTGGCCAAGTGGGAATCTAGGTCCCTTAATCATTAGATCATGGGGCTGGCTTAGATATCATTTTATTTAATCCTTGAAAAAAAAAAAACCCTATGAAGTGCATTTTAACTCATTCTTACAAGTAAAGAAACAGACTTGGAAGAGTAAAATGACTTACCTAGATGTAGTCAAAGTAGTCAAGTCAAGGTTGGGATGGAACCAAGTCACATTTGCTTTGGAACAACAACCTGGTGGAAGGCTTGCTGGGAATTTGAGACTTTTTCCTGACTGATGTCAGAACACAAAAGGGGCCCCTCGGGAGCCTACACCATTGGGTCACAAATGTTCATCCCACAGATCAACTGCATCAGGTTTACGTGAGTGAATTTTTTTAAGTTCAGATTCCAAGGCCCTGCATCTGACATACTTAACCAGACATATCTGAGCAAGGACCCTGGAATCTGCATTTTTAGAAATCAGCCCATGTAATTTTTTTTAGAGGTTTTTGACATAAGGCATGTGAACTCACCAGAGAGACAGAAACAGTGAGAGGAAAAATGAGAGATCACCCCCCAGGGGAGATGGCCATTCACATTTCTTTCTTCTCCATCCTCCTCCTGGGATCTCAGGCACACCCACACATATGCCCAGTGTGATCTTCAGGTCACCAGATCCAGGACTTAAAACATAGACCATGTGGGAAGCCAGCAATGTAACCACTGGGGCCATCTGCTGGCCCCAGCCCACATAACTTTAATGACCTTCCATGTTGGCCTAGATGAGTGGTTCTTAATTGTGGCTATGAGTGAAATGAATGAGGAGCTTTTAAAAATACACATCAATGGGACCAGCAGTTGACCTAATGGCTACGTCACTGGACTCCCATGTAGTTGACTGCAGTTTGAGTCCCAGACCTGGTGGCTTAAACTCACATCAGGCATGTATGTGTACGTGCCCAAGATCCTGAGGAGAATGGAGGAGAAGGGATTGCGGCATGGCCATTCCCTGGACGGTGATTTCTCAGCTTTCTATCTGTCTCTGTCTTTCTAGCGAGTGCACGCGCCTTATAGCAAAAATCTCTCCAAAAAAATAAAAACAAAAATACACATCATGATTCTGCTTTCATTGTGTCCAGAGGGTTGGGGGGAGCAGGCAATTATATTTATTTTTTAAGCTTCCCAGGGCATCCCAAGATGTAGCCAAGATTGTGAACCAATGGGTGAGCTGATTCCCTAGGTCACAGAACTTTGGGATTACCCAGATCTCAAATTCTCATATTTGGGCAAACTTTTAGAAAACAACTCTAAACTTTTAGGTACTGGGGCTAGGGGTTAGTTGTACCTAAACGTGCAGAATTATGAATGCAGACATGCAGATTCCACCAAAGTCCTCTTCCCCTGGTCAAAGAGCGTGGGATCTTCTGAGTGAATCACCTGATCACCTTGGGCCTCAATTCCATCATCCGCAAAAGAGTTACAATGATGGTGAGGTGGTAATAGATAACATAAGCCAGAGCCCTCACATGTCGTATTTATTGAAATGGTAATCATACTGCTATAAAAATTATTGGTATCAAAACTATTTTTACAACTGTTAGTACCACCTCGTGTTTCTACATTTTACAGAGAGGCATCTACAGAGCACAACTGTGTAAGGACCAAGAGTCGGGACCCCCTAGCCATCTACTTCACCAGTGGAACTACCGGGGCCCCCAAGATGGTCGAGCACTCCCAATGCACCTATGGACTGGGTTTTGTGGCCAGCGGAAGGTACTGGAGCCAATGTGTCTGGAGTGTCCCAGAACAGGAAGTAGGCAAGTGAGCTGGAGGAAGGTGAAAGAGGGGGAAAGTGGTAAAAGTTGAAGTCAGAGAGCTAACAAGAAGCAAATATAAATAGGTAGGATCTTGAAGGCTTTGAGCTGTCAAAATGAAAATCTGAGATATAATAAAATGATAAAGAGTTTATTTGCATATGAAGCCATCTAGGAACTGGAAACCATCAGACCAAAAGAAGTCTAGTGTGCCAATACCAAAATGTCAGAAGCAAGTGTTTATTGGAAAAATGTGGGAGCAAAAAGGAAATTATTTCATTGATTTGCAATTACAAAATTGCCTTTTTAAAGAATCTTGATGAAAAGTCTCTAGTCACATAATCATATATTAGGTGGCTGCTTCTGATTGGTTGCAATTAAAACTTTAATTTTGCCTGACACAAGCATGACCCACAGGTTAAGCTGACTTGAGTAAAGTTTATCTTATGTTTGCAATCTAAGAAAGATTAAGGCTATTTTTAAGGCCTTTCATTTTGTTTGTTCAGGAAATTTTCCAGGTCTGGTCTCCATTATTTTAATTTTTTTTTTTTAAACAAGGCTTTACTCTGAGAGAGGTGAAAAGCCATTGGGTTATTTATTTTTTAATAGTGGAAAAACAAGTATAACATAAAATGTACCATTTTAGTCACTTTTAAAAGTGTATAGTACAATATCATTAAATACATTTGCACCATTGGGCAACCATCACTACCATCCGCCTCCAGAACTTTTTTAATCCTTTCAAATAGAAACTCGATAAAGGTTGAGCATTCTTAATCCCCAGTTCTGGAATGCTCCACAATCCAAAACTTTTTGACATCAACATGACATCACAAGTGGAAAATTCCATGTCTGACCTCATGTGGTGGGTCACAGTTAACATGCTATAATATAAAGATATTATATAAAATTGCCTTCAGGCTATGTAAATAGAGTATATGTAAGACATAAATGAATTTCATGTTTAGGCTTAGACCCATCTCATTACCTATCCTCAAGATATCTCATTATGTATGTACAAATATTCCAGAGTCTGAAAAAATCCTAAATCCAAAAGTCTTCCTGTTCCAAGCATTTCAGATATGGGATTCAGCGTGTACCCATTAGATGATTTTCCATTACTCTCTCCCGGCTCCTGGAGAGAGTAATGGAAAATTACTGTATTACTAACCTCTATTCTACTTGCTGTGTCTACTAATTTGACTATTCTATGTACATCACGTAAGTGGCATTATATAGTACTTGTTCTTTTATTTTGAAATTTAGCTTTTAAAAAAATTGCTATGGGGCACATGTGCTCACTGGAGAGATGACAGAGAACAGCATCTTTGGCAGGGTCTTGAGACACTGCAATCCCCTTCTACTTCCTCAGGATCCTGGGTACTAATGCATACAATTGGTGTGTTTCCAGGACGACCCTGGGATATGAGCCCATGGTTGTTTATATGGCCTCCAGCCTTACAGGGCACAATATTATGGCTGTACCACAGTAAGCTAGGCCTGATTTGATTTTTTAAAGGCTCAATCCAGCTGTTGGGTTGATAATTGCTGTAGGAGATAAGAGAGGAAGCAGAGAACCAATAAAGAGGCCAATGCATCAAGACAAAAGGATGGTGGCTTGCCCAGTGGAGCAATAGTGGAAGGAGTGAGAAGAGGTGAGGTTCTAAATGTATTTTGAAGATAGATCTAATAATATTTGCTGACAAACTGGATGTGGAATGCAAAAGAAAGAGGAGAGATAACTTGGATGACTATAGGTTGTATGGCCTAAGCAACCAGAGCACTTAATGATAGGATGAACACTGTACAATGAACTGTCTGGTGGATGAGAAGTTAATTTTTGGTGTAAATTTGACGTATCTCCATATTCCTTCTTTAAAAAGTAGAGATGTTGAGTAGACATTTGGATACATGTCTAAAGTTAATGGGAAAGATTTATGCTGGAATTAGCAGCACAAAGATGGTATGTAACACAGTGAGAATGGAGTTCAGTTATGAGTAATATACATTGAAAAGAAAAGGATCTCAGGACTGAGGACCTGAGGCACTTGTGTACTGAAAGAAGGACTCAACAAAGGAGTCAGAGGAATAGCCAGTGAGAAGGAGGAGGATTAGCACAGTGTGTGTCCCAATGAAGAACCTGACCACTCTTCAATCTCCCATGTTTGTAGGCACCATTTCTCCTTCATGGGGTGCTCCTCCTTCTCTGCCTTACCCCTATAGTCTCCGTGTATCATTTACATCTAACTTAAGTGCCATTTCTCTGTGGAGGTATTTCACAGACTCCATTGCCACCCTTGTTCTGGGTTAGGTGCCGGTTTTCTGTAACTATACAAGGCTTTTTGTTTAATTCTACAAGGACCTACCCTCCAGGGACTTCCTAGCTATTTAAACTTACTAAGCTATAAGCTCCCCAAAGAAGACTATTCATTTATATATCTCTCTCATACTAAATCCAGATAAAGTGTTGAATAAACGTTGACTGAATAAAATGTCCTTATTAGGTTGTATTGAGATTATTTGCTCCCTTATAGATCATCCCCACTTTGCTGTAAAGTCCTTGAAGACATGTGTCTTTTTAATGCTATATTTTTAGCTGAGGGCACTGGTACATAGAAGATGCTTAATGCTTAATGAATGCTCATTGAAACAACGGCTGCCTTGGCGGGTTTTTACACAGATTTGATAAGGATAATGAGTACCACTGTGGGCAGGGCTTCTAATAAGGTGAGATGGATAATATAATTTCTTTTTAGCAATAGAGGCATTGCTGAGAGTGCTGATTTTCTCTAATTATTGGCAGGCGGTGGGTGGCCTTGACTGAGTCAGACATCTTCTGGAACACAACCGACACTGGCTGGGTGAAGGCAGCCTGGACTCTCTTCTCTGCCTGGCCTAATGGATCTTGCATTTTTGTGCATGAGCTGCCCCGAGTTGACACCAAAGTAATCCTGAATGTAAGAGCCCTATAGCAAAATTCTCTCTAAAAAAATACAACTCATTTATGTAATTTCTAGCAGACTTTAGTCCTCACTGGCTTTTGGCCAGAGGCTTCAGTTCTTCACTATTTGCATTTGTTCATAGGATGGCATGGGTCTACTCACAGAATGGTAGCTTGCTTCCTCCAGAACAAGTGATTCAAGAGAGGGAGAGGGAATGGAAATGTCTAAGCCATAGTGTTTAAATAACTTCAGTCTCAGAAGTGATACCTCTCACCTTAGCAGTAGACTATCAGCCACACAGACCAGCCCTGGTACAATGTAGGAAGGAACCCTCCAGAGTGTCAATACCAGTAGGTGGTGTCCCTAGGGGCCATCTGGGAGGATGAATACCACACACAATTTCCAACTGCTCTTCTTTGGTAATGAGAATATAAAGACCCAGTTTTCCTGCTCCGTCTCTACAAAGTCCCACCCTAGTGATTCTAAAATCTTCCACCCTTTGTTTTTGTTTAGGTTCTCACCAGATTCCCAATCACTACCCTCTGCTGTGTCCCAACCATCTTCCGGCTGCTTGTGCAAGAGGATCTAACCAGGTACAGCCTATCTGTTTGGGGCTTTGCGGTCCTAAGTTCATGAACATACAACATAAGTACCCACATACACACCCCCCACTTTCATTCCAACTGTCTTTTTCTCTGCCTCTCTTTCTCTTTCTCTGCACATCTCTCTCTCTCTCTCTTTCTCTCTCTCTCATTCATACACACACACACACACACATACCACAAGCACACACATCCATATCATTTGTATATATTTCTCAAAGATGAATTTCTGACTTCCTGGAATTCTCATCCATATGGAACCAAATACATTTAAGGCACTCTGAAATTTCAGCACTTGAGGTGTGCCTGCTATTTCTATGAAATTAGAGAAATTGTGACCAGGACTTTTTGTTCTATCTTGACTAGTGAGTCAACCACAATAGATGCCATCCTCTAGCCCCAGATTAGCCCCAGCCAGTCACTCTTTGGGTATGTGCCATTAGGCACCTAAGAGAAGGTGACGAGACACTGTGGAGGGTTCCCAACACAAAGCAATGCCTGCTGGCAGGACAGGGCTAGTTGCTGGGTATGTCTAGAGAGTCTGCCACCTTCAGTAACCTGCTGATCTGACTATGCCTCTGTCTTCTATCTTCTCCCAAGTCCTCACCTTCCCCAATCACATGTACCTCACCACACACTGCCTAAGAGAAGGAGTTCTCACCTGGTTCTCACGGTGAATGCTTCCATATGAGTTCATCCCATTCATTGATCTGCTGTGTATATCCCCACATTCTGATTGTAGCCAAAGCAGGCTCTGAGTAATTAGTCTATGAACAATGTAGCTGGATGATACTTGGTAATACTAACTAATAATCAAATGAATTTGATCCAAAGGAAAAAGAAATTATTGAAAATATATTTGTAATCCTATTTTTTTAACACACTGGATTGATTTGTTGAATTAAGGGGTAGTTTTGCAACATATTTAATATCTTGAGGAGTTTTTGGCCCATTTGTCAGAATTTAGGGGTTCTGAGGGGGACATTTTCTCTTTTTAATCTATAATGAATTTATCTTTTTCAGTCAGATTTTTTCAACCAATTTATTATTGATCAGTTTGTATTTAAATTATTTTGACCAATTCACCTGAAAATCAACATGTTATTCCAAAACACATTATGTAAGGCTCTGATTTTATCCCAAACTCAGGTAGGATTAATTTTTTAAAAAATTATCTGTCCATGAGGAACATGCCTGCAAAGTCAGGAGATGAAGACCCCTGAAGCAGATTATAAAGCGAGGGTGCTTACCTTCTAGGCTTCCGGAGGTCTGGACCTGGGCCTCAGTGCTGGAGGTTGGGGTAGACATGGGGATCCTGACATTGACCTTGTTTTCCTGTCTGAGAAAGGTACCAGTTTCAGAGCCTGAGGCACTGTTTGACTGGAGGAGAGGCCCTCAACCCTGATGTGAGGGAGAAGTGGAAGCAACAGACATGCCTGGAGCTGCACGAAGGCTATGGCCAGTCTGAAACAGTGAGTGCTGGCATGGCCAGACACCAGCCCCTGCACCTGCGCCTCAGGCCTCAGCCAGCAGAAGAGGATCATTGGTCCATAGTGCCTCCTACCTTTCTAACTAATAACTTCCTGACTTTTATCAGGGACAGACTTCCCCCAGGGGAAGAAGCTGGGAGCAAATTTTCACCAGTTTTTATGCCCTTTTGATTTAAAGGTCATTAATTTCTCAATCACACCAGGACCAGCAAGCTGTCTCTCATGACCAAAGACAACCAACGTATCTCCCCAGTCAGAGCCCAAGATCCTAAGATCTTCGGCAGTCATGTGGACAGAGATCTGGGGGCCAACTGAGTCTTTTGGCTCAGTTACACATGAAGTTCTTTGTATGTGGTGTCCATTAGGGTGTTCCAAAAACAGTTGTTGATTCTGGAAAGGAAAGAAGGGGGAAAAGTGAGGAGGAAGGGAGGGAGGAGAGGAAGAAAGAAAAGAAGGAAAAAGAGATAGAAAGAAAGGAAAGGAAGGAGGGAGAAAAGGAAGAAGGAAGAAGAGAAGAAAGGAGGAAAAGAGAGAAGTGGGGAGAGGACAGGAGAAAGAAAGAGAAGAAAGTGAGGGAGGAGGCTTAGAAGATAGGGCTTGAGAAAGGCCTTGGCCAGGACAGGGGCCAAGGGGCTAAAGCTTCTCCTTACTGACACTAGTTTCTCTCTAGGGTGTACTCTGTGCCAATCCAAAAGGCACAAGAATCAAGCCTGGATCCATGGGGAAAGCATCTCCGCCCTACGATGTGCAGGTAAGACAGCCTCTCCCAGCTGTTAGGGAGGCTTGGTTTGAAGAGTAGAGTAAGACACACGTGGCAAGTTAGCAATGTCAGGCTTGGCTGGTGGGGTGTCCTGGCTGTGTAGACATTCAGACATGCACCGTTCTGTGATCTCTCCACCAGATTGTGGATGATGAAGGTAACATCCTTCCTCCAGGAGAAGAGGGGAACGTTGCTGTTCGCATCAGACCCACCCGGCCCTTCTGTTTCTTCAATTGCTATTTGGTAAGAGGTAGGGGATGACCAATCTCACAGCATGAGAGTGTGTCACACTTCGTACACTTCCATTCGTGTAACTCTGATATCACTGCATGAGGTGGCTTCATAGCTTTACTGATAAGGAAGCTGGACAAGTGAACTGACTTATCCAATATCACACAACTAATACTGCAGGATGTGAGATTTAAGCATCAGTGTGTCTGAAAGCACAACATATGACATGAAGACAACCCCACCATTTTAATGATGTGAAAAATGGAGATTCAGGGAAGGAACTGCCCAAAGGTCAAACTGCAATTTTGTGTCAGAGCTGAGTTTTCAGGATTCTTTTTGTGGTTTTCTGTCAGGGCTTGCATTGTGGGATTTCAGACCACGTTCCTGAGATAATCCAGTAATTACCTGTCCTTCACACACACCTTGGTTCTGTTTATGTTGAACAGTCGTTAATATCTTCTCTAGAAAGCCCTCAAAGCTGACTGTGTTAGAAACACCTCGGAAGTCTCAACTGTTACTGATACCTGAGCCTCACTTTGGCCTAATTAAAGTTTATGACTGTGTGAATGGGCTCCTCAGGTGATTCAAATGAGCAGCCTGGACTGAGGGCCACCCCTTTAGAGAAATTCCATATTGTGTGTGTACTAAGCTGTCAATCAGTAGTGGAAGAAGCAGATAAACATTCATTTGTTTTTGGAATGTCATCTTTCAGTGATTTTTCTGTGACTATAAGAGAAATACTATTTCACTTTATTTTATTTAAAATCACTTAAACTTACAAAAAAAAAGAAACACTATAGTCATCACACCAAGTAGAGATAGTGTTACAGTTTTAATGTTTTTCCTTCAAATCATTTTTATAAACACTAGTGAATCTTTGATTTCCTGAGGTTTTTACTAATTTATTATTTATCAAGTACCTACTTTAGGCCACTGAGTATACAGTGATACCCAAGCTCTCAAATGTGCAGCCTCTCTGTCTGCAACCATTCCACTAAGAGAGTACTAAAATCATTTGTAAAGTTATTTTCTAGGTAAGAGCCTTTACTGTATCCAATTTGTTCTTTCCATCACTAGTACCAGCAGTTAGTTTTCATTCCAGGTTACTTTGAACTGAGGAAAAAAATGTTAATTTCTTTATGAGAATCATGGCATTATGGAAATGAATAGAACATGTCAGACTAGAGTTTCTCTCTGAATGAGCGGGTCACCAGCAGGGCTGGCAAGTTAAGCTCGCCT